AACAGGGAGATGCTCTCGGTGCCTTCGCGTTGCCGTTCTCGGTGTCTCGTTCCTTGGCTGGCGATTCGGTGCCCGCACAGCCCGGTGGTCCCGTGCCCGGTGCTCTGTCCCGGTGTCCCGGTGTCCTCATCCCGGTGTCCCCGTGCTCTGTCCCGGTGTCCCGGTGTCCTCATCCCGGTGTCCCCGGTGCTCATTCCCGGTGTCCCGTGCTCTGTCCCGGTGTCCCGGTGCTCTCATCCCCGGTGTCCCGGTGTCCCGGTGCTCTCATCCCCGGTGTCCCGGTGTCCCCGGTGCTCTCATTCCCGGTGTCCCGGTGTCCCCGTGCTCATTCCCGGTGTCCCGGTGTCCTCATCCCGGTGTCCCCGTGCTCTGATCCCGGTGCTCTGATCCCGGTGCTCTCATCCCGGTGCTCTCATCCCCGGTGTCCCCGTGCTCTGTCCCGGTGTCCCCGGTGCTCATCCCCGGTGTCCCGGTGTCCCCGGTGCTCATTCCCGGTGTCCCGGTGCTCTCATCCCCGGTGTCCCCGGTGCTCTCATCCCCGGTGTCCCCACATCCCCACTCGTCCCGTCTCCTGTCCCAGCGGTGCCACCTCCGGTGTCCCCCGGCTCCCTCCGGTCCCTTGTCCCCGGTGTCCCCTCCCGATTCCCAGCCCCACCCCGGTCCCGGTGTCCCTCGGTGTCCCCTGGTGTCCCCCGGTGTCCCCAGCGCCACCCTGTCCATCATGTCCCCTGCAGCATCCCCGCTGTCCCCACGGGTGACATTTCCTGTCCCCAGTGTCCCCAGGGTGACGTTTGGTGTCCCCAGGGTGATGTTTGGTGTCCCCAGGGTGCTGTTTGGTGTCCCCAGGGTGACGTTTGGTGTCCCCAGGGTGATGTTTGGTGTCCCCAGGGTGACATTTGGTGTCCCCAGGGTGATGTTCCTGTCCCCAGGGTGACGTTTGGTGTCCCCAGGGTGCTGTTCCTGTCCCCAGGGTGCTGTTCCTGTCCCCAGGGTGATGTTCCTGTCCCCAGGGTGACATTCCTGTCCCCAGGGTGACGTTTGGTGTCCCCAGGGTGACGTTTGGTGTCCCCAGGGTGCCGTTCCCGGGCCGCGCTGTCACCATGAGTGCAGAGACGCTGGTCAAGGACGTCAAGCCGGGCCTCAAGAACCTGAACCTCATCTTCATCGTGCTGGAGACCGGTGTGTGCCACCAGGGACCCCTGGGGACACCTGGGGACACCAGGGGACCCTCACTGAGCCCCCTGTGACCCCTGGGGACCCTCTGTGACCCCTGTGACCCCTGGGGACCCCCGGTGACCCCTGGGGACCCCTGGGGACCCTCACTGACCCCCCTGTGACCCCTGGGGACCCCCTGGTGACCCCTGGGGACCCTCTGTGACCCCCCTGTGACCCCTGGGGACCCTCCAGTGACCCCTGTGACCCCTGGGGACCCTCACTGACCCCCCTGTGACCCC